GGATGCAACTATCCCAACTGTCGCCGCCGAAGAACTCACCCCCACCACAACGGTACCTGATTTTGACAAGGAGGCAATCATTGAACGGCTAAAAAGGCTCCTAGAAGACCCTTCAGTGATAGAAACCAAGCCCCTGAGACATGTGAACAGAAAGAAGCTTATGGAGGAAACATCTCTCATCAACTCATGTATAGCAGAGATTCCAACTTCTTCAATCACTGAAACCAACACCCTATTGCTTGCAGGGGCACATTTAGTCAGCGAAAAACTTGGTGAAAAACCTGCAAATAAGAATACAGGGAAACGGAAAACTCCACTATGGAAAAGAAGAATCGAAGATAAGATTACCCAGGTTAGGAAAGACATCTCCTACCTTGAGGAGAAGAAGAAAGGTACTACCCTTAAACAAAAAATACTAGAAGGGCTCAACAGACGTCACCCTCTGTTGAAGAAAAAGGGTATACCATGCATCATTGAGGAGCTCAAGCAACGTCTTCGCGCAAAAGCAGCTAAGATAAAGAGATTTAATAAAAGATGCGAACGATACCACCAGAACAAGTTGTTTGGAAACAACCAGAGGCAGTTCTACAGAAACCTTCAAACAAACCCTGAAGAACAGGATATCTCCCACCCTGAGGCTGACAAGGATTCTTGTCTGAAGTTCTGGAAGAACATATGGGAGCAGCCGGTTGAACACAACAGTGATGCTGAATGGTTACCGGATGTCAGAACAGCACTAGCCTCAGCAGATGAACAGAGACAGTTTGTTATAACTAACACCCTGGTTGCAGATAGAGTGAAGAAAATGACTAATTGGTCCTCTCCTGGTACAGACGGACTGCATGCTTATTGGATAAAGCACTTTAAAGAACTCCACAATAGGATTGCAGATCAACTTATGAATTGCCTAACCAACGCTGATATCCCAGACTGGATGACATTGGGACGCACGTACCTGCTCATCAAGGACCACTCGAAAGGACCCATCCCAGGCAATTTCAGACCGATTACTTGCTTATCAGCTATGTGGAAACTGTTCACTGGTCTAATCTCAGATTCCATTTACCACCATTTAGACCAGCAAAAGCTCCTCCCCCCTGAGCAGAAAGGGTGCAAGAAGAAGAGTAGAGGATGTAAAGAACAGTTAATGATAGACAAACTCATCCTGAAGAACTGTAAACGAAGGAAGCGGAACCTGAACATGACGTTTATAGACTACAAGAAGGCGTATGATAGCGTCCCACACTCTTGGATTCTATCTTGTTTGACCATGTGTGGCATCTCTTCATGCATCATAGACCTGTTTGAAGCCTCCTTCAAACAATCGTATGTTAACCTGATGCTTGGTAAAGTTTCCCTTGGGAGAATTAAAATTAATAGAGGTCTATTCCAAGGAGACTCAGTCTCACCTATCCACTTTATCATTAGTCTTATACCCCTGTCCATTCTTTTGAATAAGCATGACATAGGATACTCTCTGGAGAGAGGAGGTCAACCGAAAGTGTCGCATAGGCTATATATGGACGACCTCAAGTTGTATGCCGAGAGTGAAGACGAAATGCACACACTGGTTAATACCACAGCAGAGTTCAGCAGTGACATAAAAATGGAATTTGGGCTAGAGAAATGTGCCGTGGTGAAGGTGAAGAAGGGAGCAAGAGCCGTTTTTGAAGGCATCTCCCTACCCACAGGTGAACAGATCCATGAGTTGGAGGACGACGGCTATAAGTATCTCGGAATACTAGAAGCTAATGATATACTACACAAAGAGATGAAAGCACTGGTTACAAAAGAGTATATCAGAAGAGTTAAAAAGGTTTTGAAATCCCAGCTTCATGGCAGGAATAGTATACAAGCGATTAACACCTGGGCTGTACCTGTGATAAGATATGGAGCTGGAATTCTCTCATGGAATGCTGGGGAGACCAAAGCCTTAGATGTCAAGACCCGGAAACTGATGAGGATACATGGAGCTCACCACCCCCAAGGAGATGTTGATCGGTTATACGTCAGCCGTCAACTGGGTGGCCGTGGGCTACATAGTATAGAGGAAGTCGTTAAGAGAGAGGAGAATGCACTCACCACTTATGTGGTGAGAAGTAGAGACCCAGAACTGATTGCTCTGAAGGACTACTTTGTCAAAGACAAGATACTCTTGGGTGAAGAGATAGAGAAAGATATTGACCGAACACAACGCGAGGAAATCCGCAAGGAGAAATGGACTGCTAAAGTGATGCACGGACAGTTCCCAAGGCAGATGATGGGTACAGCAGACCCGTTAACCTCTTGGAACTGGCTCACCCAACAAGATTTGAAGAAGGAGACAGAAGGATTGTTGATAGCAGCCCAAGACCAAGCACTTAGGACTAATTACGTGAAGCACAGGATTGACAAAACACCTGGCTCTTCTCCCCTCTGCAGACTCTGCAGAAATCATTACGAGACAATAGATCACATACTGAATGGGTGCCCAAAACTTTCACAGACAGAATATAAGTGTCGGCATGACAAAGTAGCTGCCGCATTGCACTGGAGTCTGTGCAAGGAATACGGCTTCCCACGCAGTAAAAGGTGGTACGAACACCGGGCAGAGAAGGTGCTGGAGAACGGACAAGTCAAGATATTGTGGGACTTCCATGTCCAGTCGGACCACGTTATCGAACACTGTAGACCGGATCTCCTCCTGGTAGACAAGGTAACCAACGCAGCAACCATCATTGACGTTGCAGTCCCAGGAGATACCCGGATCTTGGATAGAGAACAAGAAAAGATTCTGAAATATCAAGACCTGAAAAGAGAAATTAAGAAGAACTGGAATTTACGAAAGGTCACAATCGTCCCTGTGGTGATAGGCGCATTAGGAACTATCACCATAAACTTTCGTAAACACCTCGACGCAGTCCACTGCAATCTGAGCATCTCTAATCTCCAGAAGACAGCTCTGCTTGGATCAGCCAGGATTCTCAGGATGGTCTTAGACATATAATATATTTGAGTGTATAATACACTGTAAATACTCTTTTTTTTAGTTTAATTTTCACTGGGTACTCTAATAAACACTTTTTACCTGGTCCTCTTATTTTTCTTCCCTTGCTATGCAAGCCCTGTCTCTTGTTTATACAATTTTTAACTCGTATATTGGGTAGATTGAGTATTTATTATGGATTTTATATTGTTGTTAGCCCTGCTGATTTGTGTATTAGTAATGATTACCTATCTGATGGACTACGGTATATACAGTTGATGGTAGTTTTCTCTTATTTTTCTTCTCTTGCTCTGCAAGCCCTGATTCTTGTATAAACATATTGTTTGATATAATATTGTATATTTTTGTATTGATTGTGGTATTTTGTGTGCCAGATTCAGCAATGGGTTCTTGCTGAATCACTGTATATTACACTCTGTGACTAGTCCCTTTGATCCATCTCTTGCCCTGCAAGCCCTGTTTCTTGTCTATACAGCATATAATTATCATGTATCACATTGTAGTATGTAATAAACATTTGTAGTAGTGTAGGATTGTTTGAATTTCTTTTTGCTATGTTTTATAATATTTATTTGTATAATTTGTGAGTGTCTCTCCCGCTTTTCTTCCCTTGCGCAGCAAGCCCTGTCTCTTGTAAAAACAACCTTGAAAGTTTTGTAGATACATATAGTTTCTACACCTTTATCCTCTGGTCCCTAGGGTCAGCTGATCCCGGGCCAGAGGAAAACTACCGACTGCCAAGGTCTGACGCCTAGGCAGTCGAGACCTCTTATTGAGACCCTTTATAATAATAAACAGCACCAAAAGGTTAAATAATTTAAATTTAACCCTTATGCTCAGCTGTAAATGATACTTAAGTTAACGAGAGTGTGCATCTTTGCCTTAGGTGAAACAAGAAACTGTTCAGAAAACAGACGTAAAAAACTGTAAATAAAATCGTGACTAAATAAGGCAGATGCACCTAACAAGCAGGCTTAGCAGGTTTTCTAACAGAGGACTTGAGGAAAGGATGATGACTGCAAGAAATCACAGTATGAAACTCATCAGCCTATCAAATGTAAAAATCAGGATAATAAAAATGGAGGAATGGCAACTGAGGCTTCACAGTTCCTAAAACATCTCGCTGAAAAGATCAGCCTAAAGAAAGGCCAACGGTATTGTGATGTGATGTCATTTGTCAGACCCAGACTGCGTTTTGATCTACTCAGAACCTGTATAATCTCTATCAGGGGGTACAGAGGTACCAGAACCCTTCCACCCACGGCAATAAGTGATTTGGACCTTAACCTGATCAACACTCTTAAACCCTAAAAGGTCATGGAGTGCTTGTTGGATGGGGGTCTAAACTACTTTTTTTGTGATGTGATTTAGTGGATTTTATATATATTATTACAAAGGGTTTTATTTTTACCTCAGTTTTTAAATTTGTACCATTTTAACAGAATTTTTATATAGGGTCATTGCTATATTATGTGTATATTGTTTGAATGTTTTATATTTTTCTAAAAATGAAATTCCCTAAAATATTAAAAATTCTATAAAAATTCTATAGAAATTCTATAGACTCCAAATATACAAACAATCTGAATACTCCAATATACAATAAAAATTGATTGAATGAGATTACTGCAGAACAGTAACTGACGATAAAAATTATATCTGAAGATCCAATACAGTCATACCAAACAATCTGGGCAACATAAAAGTAGAGACGGTGAAATAAAGAGAGGAAAAAAATGCTCTAGTACTTGAGACAAAATACAAAGAATAAGGTAGCTTTCTCCCGGGTGCCAACCCAAAAAATGTTGGTGTCCCAGGATAGAGCCTCCTCTTCTGACCTAGTACAATACAATTTTGTTGGCAGACACAATGAAACGCAAAAAAGATTATTATCTTAAATGTTGCCCAAAAATCCTTGAAAATTAAATGCCTAAAATAATTTAATTTAAAGCGTAAAAATGACCTGCTATAGATGTAAATTGTTTTTTAAAACCTTCTATAATGGATAAGTTACTCAGTACAAATCAAAGGACTTTCTAAACAGGTGAGCTTTAAGTTTTCCCTTAAAGTCCTTGATGTTTACACATTTCCTGATTTCTTGAGGAAGATTGTTCCATAATCTTGGAGCAGATGAAGAGAAGGCTCTGGGTGGACTGTTTATGGGGCAATGAAGAGACACATCTCTGCCACCACTGGAATTGTACTTGACAAGGTTTGACAGGTATGAAGGTGCTAGCCCATGGAGCAGTTTGAAAGTTAGCAGGAGTATTTTAAATTCAATACGTTCTTGTACCTTGAGCCAATGAAGTTCTTTTAAGTAGGGCTCAACTTCTTCTCTCATCTTTAGACCTTTAACTAAGCGGCATGCTCTTTTTTGCAGAGATTGTAGCTGTTTCAAAACAGAATGATTCGTTCCAAATTAAAGTACATTGCAGTAGTCAAGGGAACTGATAACAAGAGATTGTACGATGATTTGCATTTGGGCTTCAGAGAGGAATGGTTTCATCTTTGCAATGTTTCGCATCTTGTGGCACTGTAAGAGTTAATGTAGGGTTGATGACTGATCAATATATACATGTACACCTTACAGAGTCGCGATGGTGTTCCTTTGAAGATCTTTTTACGTTAAACACTTCGTAGGCCTTTGCAATATCCTGATGTGACGTAAGAAAGACAAAAAACGAGGAGGGATCCGGATCCATCCTCTTTTTTTTTGTTGGTAGGCCTACCAAGATTAAAGATTTTCGATCTTGTTGGGGTATCCTTTATATTAGTTATTTATACATTTTAGTTTACCACAACTTTATACAATAAAGTTATAACGCGAACGTATACTATCTAATTGTTGTACAGAGCTTTGTACAAGAATGCAAAAGACGTTTGGTTATACGATCTAACAAACATACTTTGAAGCCTCAGTTTATCGACCCCTGATTTGCTGTAAACCCCATATTACTTCACCCCGGCCAAGCCCTTCCTTTAATGACCAACCATCATGGTCTATCTTAAGAGATGATAGTGATAACAGCATCACTGCCTTCCGCTCTCTAGCACAAATTGCCATTGGTGAACTATCATAAAGATGATTATTATAGTGCTCATCTCTTGTGACATTTATTCTTCTTCAGCCTCTACTACTCACTCTACTGCCTCATCTTCTGAACATCATTATCTTTAGTATAGTTGAGGATTCTCAACACCCACTTTCAAGTTGAGTACTCTCGACCCACTTAGTCCACATGCCTTGCAAACTTACAGCACGGTATTTGTAATGGTCTAAGTTCCTAATACTCGCCAAAGATGGTTCCTCTAGTCAACCGTAGGAGAAGACAACAACAAATTAGATGGCTGCATTTTGTTTTCATTTTATTAGGTCCTAGTATTTATTCCTATTGTCTTAAAGTTTTAAGAGAACTCACCTTAAATTATTTTAATGCAGTCACTCAGATAAGTTTATATCAGGACAATTCAATAAAGACACATACTCTGCCCACAATAAGGGGCCATAATTGTTTCAATTATGTAACTGTATAGAATTATTATTATAAAGGGTCTCAATAAGAGGTCTCGACTGCCTAGGCGTCAAACCTTGGCAGTCGGTAGTTTTCCTCTGGCCCGGGATCAGCTGACCCTAGGGACCAGAGGGTAAAGGTGTAGAGACTATGTGTATCTACAAATCTTTCGAGGTTGTTTTTACAAGAGACAGGGCTTGCTAAGCAAGGGAAGAAAACCGGGAGAAACAATCACAAATTATACAAATAAATATTATAAAACCTAGCAAAAAGAAATTAAAACAATCCTACACTACTACAAATGTTTATTACATACTACAATGTAATACACGATAAATAAATGCTGTATAATCAAGAAACAGGGCTTGCAGGGCAAGGGACGGAACACAGGGACTGGCTACAGAGTGTATAAAACAGTGATTCAGCAAGTATCCATTGGGTATTGCTGAATCTGACCCACAAAATACCACAATCAATACAAGAATATACAATATTTAAACAAACATCATGTTTATACAAGAATCAGGGCATGCAGAGCAAGAGAAGAAGAATAAGAGAAAAACTCCAACACATGTATACCCCTTAGTCCAGTAAATAACAATAATTACTTGTACACAAAACTGTATTTAATATAAAATACATAACAAATACACAGTCTACCCAATATACGGGTTAAAAATTGTATAAACAAGAGACAGGGCTTGCATAGCAAGGGAAGAGATATAAGAGGACCAGGTAAAAAGAATTCTGGCTGATCCAAGCAGAGCTGTCTTCTATAATATTATTATTATTCCCTTCCCGCTAAAATGTTGGAAAAATGTCCTCCTTTTTAATTTGATATCATAAGATCCTTCGAAATACGTCTCATAATCGATGCTGATGTCCAGTAAACTTGTCAGGCTCGTTAATTCTACTTTCTACCCCTTACCTAAGTGCTTGTGAACCATAATCCACAATTCACCATCTTGTTTTCCTTTGCCCAAACTGTACGATAGATAGGGGTTTTACTGTAATTGTTTTATCTGTTCTGTAGTTATTTCAAGATTTAAACAACAATTTCAAGATAACCACAATTCTATTTTAAAGTATCAATTAAAGCAAACAAAAATATATTTTATATATTAACTAGCACGACCTTTAGACCAGATATCTTAGGGGACTTGGAATAGAAGAAAGTGGCTAGAAGGTATATACCTTTTACTAAAATACGTCGAAAAGAATCCAGGGTGATACAGTATCGGAAAGTGCATACCGTGAAGTTTACGCACCCACCTTTGTCTTCTGAATTCTTGGTTTGGTAGACATTTATGTGAACTTGGTCGTTTATACTCCAAGTCCCTTTGTTAAAAAAGTAATATAATTTATCACTGGAGTTAACCTCATTCAATAATAACAATATCAATATCAATATCAAATTAACTAAATTATAAATAAAGATATTCAATATTTTAAAACATTACATCAAGTGGTTAAAAATGCCCAAAGTCGATCTGAGAGCTTTTCAGCCTATAGTACAATCATGATAGTAATTATAGTAAGTGTGTGCCGCTGCAATTAGATAACTGCAATTGAAATTGTTTGGAGTCCAAGTATTTTTTAAGTCAGCTGCCTGTGATTGTATTAATAGTCAATGAAACAAGAAATTTCAATGAAACAAGAAATTTAATTTTAGAACATTTTACAGAATAAAAAGATGTAAAACAATTCATAAAATATAATGCCCATTTGGTGTGTAATAGTGCTTTGGTTCTCAATTTTATCAAGTTAATGGAAGTTTCTAGGCAATTGCTTGAAGTGAGAATTTTATGAACAGTGTTACAAAGGTTGTATTGGCTCCATTAAGCAAAAAGTTATTTTATTTATTTAGAAGAATAAACGTTAGACTCGTTGTCTGGTTGTTCTCGGAATTTCCAAGATGTCCTTTTTTAACACAGCACTGATGACACTGCTAGCGAAGTGTTGATCCATATCATAGTCCTACTTGTACTTGTGCAGTAAAAAGTATTGGTTATAATGTGGGTTTATCTCAACATGCTAGTTTGTGAACACTTTGTGTTGGTTGTATGCCCTGAAGATTTTTTGTTTTTATTCTTGTAAATTATTTATTACCAAACTTATCATAGTGTGGTAGTGTCAAAAATATTATAAACCATTTTGTTATTATTTTTAAGTACAATTGATATTGGCTTTTATCTCCTCTGAGTAACACAAGTTATTGTTATTTTGTTATTAAGCTATAATCAAATAAACTCCAGTCCCCCTCCAGGATGCTAATAAACAGCATATTTTTCATCAATCATTCTGGGTAAGTTATTAACATTGAATTATTCACAGTTATACCATTTTCGTCTTATATTTAATAGTTTTTTCTTGGAAATGTTTGAGCTGTGACAAGATGTGACATGACCAATGCTGTTGCTAAAAATGCATTGTTAGATACTAGTGCAACATTTCTGTTTATTCTATTATTGCTCTGCGCTAATATTGTAATGTCCATACTCACTCTTTTCCAGAGACATATTTCTTGAGAAACATTGGAGATCTATAGTAAGCAGATCAGTTTGTGACCAGTTCTTTGATGCCCAGACTAAGGCAGTCACACCTGAAGATGTTCCCCCTATCATAACTGCAAACAAAAACTATTTGATTAGTATTTACAGAGAGAAGATTTATCTGGTCGCAGTTACTCAAATGGAAGGTTTGCTTTGTTGTGTCAACAATTTTTCTTGACTTAGATGTATTTTATGGGTGCTGTAACATTTGCATTTGGTGTATTACTATTATTAATCTAGTTTTAGTTGCGTTACTGACAGCCACTTAGATAAAATACTAACCCATATATAACTCATCCGAACCCACTTTTCAGTTCAACCATTATTTGTGATAGAGTTTATGCACAGAGTCATGGACACTTTTACTGAATACTTCGATGAGTGCACAGAGAGCGCTATTAAAGACAATATAATTGTTGTTTACCAGGTATGTCTCTGATTATACTACTAGACACTGCAGTTAAATGGACCTTAATTCATTATCAAACAGTCTCTCTCACTGTTGTGTCATTTTCAAAGATCATTCAATGAGACTCTATATCAGATCACTGCTGTATCAGGTTACTAAATAATGTCTTCGATAATATGTTTAAAAAACTGTGAATATTTAAATGGTTTGTAACAACATCTCAGAAACCATTGTATAAACCGACACTGAATTTTCAGCTACTAGAAGAAATGCTGGATAACGGGTTTCCCTTGGCTACAGAGCTAAATATTCTAACAGAGTTGATAAAACCACCAACAATCATCAATAAGGCTGTTTCAATGGTCACCGGCAAAGAAGGGTAAGTTTTAACTAATTGACTTGTCTGATTTAAAGTTGTTACGATTTTCAGCCAATCAAATGTTATTCTACAACAATTAAATCATTAAAATGAAATAATTATGTTGCACTTTTCTATCACATAAACCTACAAATTAGCGCCATGACTAACCCCAAATATTTGCAGCGTGAGCTCAGTATTACCAGGCTCCCAACTCTCCAATGTTCCCTGGAGAAGACAAGGAGTAAAGTATGCTAACAACGAGGCTTACTTTGATTGTATAGAGGATGTGGATGCTATTATTGATGCTAACGGCACTGTCGTTTCTGCTGAAATTCATGGAAATGTAAGAAACCCGTCACCAGTCTGGAATCGTTATAAATATATAAATGTACTTAAAAATGATAATTCACGTGATAATTTTTGGTTACAATATGACTCATTATTATTGCTACAGTAGTTTACGCTAGATTATTACGATAACTAAAATAAGATAACAATGTAATCCCCTGCCCAGATAAACTGCAATGTGCACTTGTCCGGTATGCCAGATCTCAGTATGTCCTTCATAAACCCCCGATTACTGGACGATGTCTCCTTCCACCCCTGTGTCAGGTTGAAACGCTGGGAGAACGAGAAGATACTCTCTTTTGTTCCTCCTGACGGCTCCTTCGTTCTCATGAGTTATCATATCAGTACTCAAAAGTAAGTTACTTACTGGTATACAGATATATTATAACTTATACTGACTGCTATAAAAACAATAATAGATCTGCCTTTTATCACTTAAGTTTAGTAAATTTTACGAAAATGGCCGACCACAAGTATGACATCGTACTACGACTGTTTCTGAGTTGAAATCTGTACTTAATTTATGTTTAAGAGATCATGACGGGCTCCAGCTCTGACATATTTTTCAGTCAAGTTGCGATTCCAGTGTATGTTAGAGCAATGATAAACTTTAAAGATGGTCAAGGAAAAGTGGACATTACTGTTGGACCCAAACAGACACTTGGAAAAACTGTTAGTTTAATTAAACTGCGTCACCACGCTATTTCATTCGAATAACTTAAGTCATAAGTTAGAATCGAGTCAACAAATTGGCGTGTCACCAAACTGGTGTGTTGGTGTTTTACCCAATTTTAAAATAAAGTTTACTAGTTATATAACATATTTAAATCCAGGTAGATAACGTAGTTATAACAGTGCCGATGCCGAAGGATGTGACGGGCTGCTCCATGACCACCTCTGTGGGCTCCTACACTTTTGACCCTAGCTCAAAACAGCTGAGATGGGATATCGGAAAAATACAACCTCTTAAAGTTCCTACCATGAGGGGCACTGTAAGTCTACTTTTCAGCTGGTCACTTGATTAAGTTGTTCAGTTTACCCCTCCAGGGTCAATCTCTTATCTACATCATTTCACCATTCAACAAATTCTTCATATATCTTAGACCAATGAATTTGATATGACTGAACCTTTTTTCAACATAAAAGTGTTTGTCTAAGATTTGTATAACTCTGTCCCCATCTTCAGTGTACAGCTCCAGCAGGCTCCCAATGTAAAGACGCGCACCCAACAATCCACGTGGACTTTAAGATAATGCAGTTAGCTGTGAGTGGACTGAAGGTGAACAGGTTGGATATGTTCAACGAGAATTACAAGCCATTTAAGGGGGTCAAGTACATCACTAAAGCGGGCAACTTCCAAGTTAGAACCTAACGTTGCGTGTTTAGTAGTGAGTAACAGTGGCCAGTGCTGTATGATGTATCGTAAAAGGTCACGTGATATGACGTCATATCACGTGTTTTATGAAGCAAACTACAAGTTATGACCTATGGTGACATGAACTGAAATTTCTAAGACCGAACAAATTTTGTTCCCATCAACTAACTTGCTGACTGATGCTAGTTTCTCTTAAATGTTTCAACTTTTAATCCTTTAAACACACGAGTTAAATTATTACGACGGCGAATTCAGGATACTTAAATGCAATGCGATTCTTTAATTGTCATTAACCACTTTTAGCAGTCGAAGTTGTCAAGTCATTTTATTCTAGACGTAGAATATCGCTTTAAAACTTAGAATGAATAACTAACAGCAGATAAAGTTTGCGCTTAAAGTAGCGATCGATGATTTGGGGTGATTGGACAGTCTGATGAACTGTTAGCTTCGTAGAATGACATGATTGATATTGGGAATGGGGTACCGATTTGAGGCTAGATTGAAATATGGTTTTAAGTTTAAATTGTTTTTGTGGGCAGTGGGAATAAAACGATTTTTTCGGCTTCTTTGATATCTCTATCCTTGAAATTGGATAGTGGATACATCCTTGCGTTAAGGCTCTTACAAACGATTTTAAAATCACAAATTAAGTTTGTCCTATGTAAGTTGTGACTTTAAAATACGATTTTAGTTATTCAAATATTTCGATGCTGAAGTATGATTCCGTTTTGATGTTACTGTGATAAACAGTTAAATTTGTGTCAATATTATATAATTTAACAGCTACATAATGTAATGAAATTAGTCGAAAATGTTTTATATTGTATTGTTGAATGACTTAGATATGATTTAAATTCAATTCTATCGTGAGAAATATTAATGAACTTTATTTTTGTTTCCTCAGCTGGTCTAGGAATTTTTATCGAATTGTGTTTTTCTCGGCTGTTCACATTTTATAGTTCTGACTTTTGATCTCAAATTCGTCAAAACGACCCATTGATAAATCGAATTGTATCCTCTTTGACATCTAGTTTAACATTTGAACTTACAAAAATAAAAAAGTTTCCAATCATATAACAATATTCAGGAATGTAATCTGATAACTAAGCCATTTTAAATAATTAATTAACTAACCACTACTATGGGATAGCCACCGGGCAATGTGACCCTAACAGGACACCCCACTTCACAACGCGTACCAGAAGAGAACCACCCCTAGCTCGCACGCGACAACATGACGTGATAGATGAGCGAGCGACTGTTTGGGTTCACGCGCAGTGAGCTGGTCGAGCACCACGGCTGGGTTTCTGACGTCGTCTTCGACAACCAGCAGGTACGCACGTGTGTGTGGCGCGAGCGCAGGTAGGAAGACGTGAACATTTTATTGCATGAGGATTACTCCAGCAGCGATATTATACTGCTACTCTCAATGACAATTCCTTAAGTTCAGACTTTAGCCTTGCTTTTGATCAGCACACTGACTGACTTCACGTTATTTTTTCACATCACGTGACCTATCACATGATCTCAGGAGTTAGTATGGGTAGCAGGACAGAAAGGTTATGTGACCAGCTACTATTCGTGTGGCTTACAACTCTACACTAAGTTCTTTGCTAATGACGAGGTTGTTCAGCTGATGCCTGTCCAGGCTGGCATACTCAGCTTGTCCTCCAACAGGCTCAACCTACACACACGACAGGTAATCAGCTAATTACATAATTAGTCAGCTTCATGATTAATCAATTAACTATGCAATTAGTTTGAAAAACTGTATCCGGAAAACTCTCCTGTGCTGTGCAGTGTTCGACGTTTCAGTGCCATACAATATACAACCTTATAAAGTCATAACTAATCGCCTAATATCTTAACTAATTAGTCACCACCACTCATCTTCAGGGGTTGTCCCAGCACTCGTTCACCTCTCCCAACATGACCAAGATGTGCTGCATGTGCACGAACTCTAACTCTAACGATGTTCTGATTGGTGGCCACACTAAACACGTGACTAAGTACGATCTGGGTAAACAGAAAGTGGTTAACGAGATCGTGCTGGGAGATGCTGGGTGTGTCATCATCAGAGAGACCACCAGTCTTTGTTGTTTTGGTGAGTAGAAGCAAGGGGTGGGTGGGTTGGTGGGGAGAGGGGATGCACTGACCACATCGGGGTGGTGAAGGGGGTGCACTGACCACATCGGTAATCGTTTTACTGAAGTTGATATTATGATAAGAAGATTATCAGGATATTGTGGCACGCCTTATCATACAATGTTAAACTGATATTTCATGACGATAATGGCAGTGAAAAGTTAGAACTTTTTACTGGACGAAATAACTAAATAACTTGATAAAGAGTACACTGTACAGTTGCAGTGGTGCTCTTACTAAGTTTATAATGATACACTGGTGGTTTCAGTGTTCATTTGTTCAACGTATCAATCGTTTGAGACTGTTCTAGCTTCGCTGAATTTGTATTGAATTGGAGTTTACTTGTAACTGAATAAGATACGTGTACAATGTACAATGTACACACAATATTGTAATCTGTGAAAAACATGAACTCTTTCTGGATTTTATCAAATTCCATAATTTACGTCATAACCAAAGTTAGTTTTCACTACATTCTAATACCGCTGATTCAGGTTGTCCTGATGGAGATATAGCCCTGTACGATAAGAACACCTACAAGAAAGCCAGCAACATCCCCGCACATTCGGGCACCATCTCCGACTTTGACATCTGCGACAATCTCCTTGTATCCTGTGGGTTTGCGTCGCGCGGGAACGACATGTCCGTGAAGCGCTCACTGCTTGTGTACGATCTGCGCATGATGCGCAGCCTCAACGCAGTGCACTGCTCAATAGATCCGGTTCAGCTGAGGTTCATGCCCATGTACCACTCACAGGTGAAACTCATTTTAACAAGAATTGCGCCCGTTGTTTCGTTTTGGCGGACGCTAGATTTCCATTTCACATTTACTATAAATTTAAGTATAAGCTCCAATCAGCTCACTTCAGTCTTCATGATAATAATATTGATAAATTATGCATTAAGTACAGGAAACACTTGAAATTAAGTTCAATTGCCAAAGAACTTAACTTGTAAAGCAAAGAACTTAAATTGTAAGCAAAGGTAAACTATACTCGTGTACACATCAATATACACTACGCGTGCCACGTACAAATTGGGCTTATAACCTAATATTATACATTATATCGTATACATTAAAACACAGTTGCGCCGCGCATTCATAGATCACAGGCTATCTATACATCACATCTCCGCAAGCAATTCTCGCGCGCTCAACTTTTATGTTGCATGGTTACTAACGGAAGGAACACGACATACTCAGACCCACCTACTGCAATCTCCAAAATCCACGTTTTTCTGCAAAAACGTCCATTCGTAACCTTTCACTATTGCCTTTTTTCAAAAGGGTGAAAAGGAAAAAATAGTTGTCAGTGGGATCGGACCGAAACGGTCACTCCCAACTGGGATTCGAACTCAGGCCGACAAAACTTGAAGCTATTCTTTTAACAAGAATCTCGTACCAGATTAGAGTCTTTACACCTCTCCCAGTACACAATTTAGCAGATACTCTAGTTCTAATGATTATCCTGAACTTGGCTAGTATATATGAAATATTTGACATGGAGTTGTAGGGTGAGTTATGTGCCTCGCCGGGCTAAAGTAGTGGATGTCCTTGCTGTACGGCAAGTTAAACAAGGAACTGAAACTACTAGGTTCCGTACAGACTCAACTCTGCACCCATGTCAATATGTTCATTATATGCAAGCCTCTTGATTTATAACCAAGTAATTTTGTTCAGGTCCTGATCGCATCACAGTCCGGGCAGTTCCAACAGCTGGAAGTAACAGCAACCCTTCCTCAGAACAAGTATTTGTTTGAGGTGGATTTAGCGGGTAGTTACTGTAATGCCATCGACCTTTCCTCCACATCTAAAGCTCTAGGTTAGTGAAAGTGAAAGTGAAAGTGAAAGTGAAAGTGAAAGTGAAAGTGAAAGTGAAAGTGAAAGATTGAGTCAGTGACCCAAGTGAAATCAAAGATGGCTTCAAAGATGCTGTAAGTGTAATGCCAATTTCAATGATTCTGAATCTAAGATTAACATCAACTACAAAACCATTTCCCCTTTTCAGCAATCGGAGACTCATCAGGAGTGTTACACTTACTAGCGTCTCAAGAAGGAACAGCTTTTAACTCCTTCTCACAACCCACATACTTCCCTACAGAAAACATGCTCAACTTCCCCAAAGTCAATGTTAGTTTAAATGTTCTTACAGTTCAGTCAGTTTCAAGGACAATCAAGGTTTACAATTATTTTAAAAGGGACTCTTAACTGTAGGCGGATTCGAAATTTAATCTAAATGGTAACATGGCGCTTGATCTTAGATGACGTCACATCTCATCACGTGACGTCACTTAAACTCTTATAATCCTTCCGTTCAAGTAGTACCTTCTCTACAGATAGACGACTACAATTTCCCGCTGGCAACTGTCCCGATGCCTCACGCAACAGAGAGACTATTGAGCGAATGGCCCCCAGAGTTCAACAGAACCGGAGATCGAAGGACAAAACCCATTGACCCTGAGATACTCCGCAATATGAAGATGGTAAAATTTTATCTTTCACTTTTTCTTATCTTTATTTCCCTAAGTATCCTTATCTCTTTCTCTTCCCTCCTTTTGATAACATCAGTATGGAGCCAGACCAGAGTCTGTTATATATTTCAACCAATCTGCAAACATGAATAAAATCAGTTAACAATATAATAGTCTGGTGAATATTGACGTTATAAATTTCAGGTTGGGTTTGTCGGTGGCTACTCACCCAATCCGCATAACATGTACAAGAACACTATACCATACGATCTAAACTTACAGCGGGTTGAAGAGCTGAAGAAGAGAGAGGAAGTTGTCACCAATATACCCAGGGTAACGTTATTTTTCACTTTCACTTTCACTTTGATTCCCAGAGCTTGTTCTACAGGACATAAAAGCTCTTTGGTACGGTTTCCATTCTAATATTGTATCGAAGTTTCCCCACGTGTTATAGCATAACTAAAGAATAAAGATCTAATTCCAATTTCTAGGTTTATCAGAGAATAGACGTAGATCCCACATCCCTGACGGACTCAGAACTCCACAATTACAACAGAACTAAATTTAGCGTCTTCTACAACAACAAGGGGAATACTTACATCTGTACTGTCTTACAGGTAACATTTTGTGGCGTCACTGCATGAATATGACGTCACTAATCGTACCGCGTGACAGGTTATCGTTTGACATTAATACGTCTTAGCTAATAGTAATATTTAGAAAACAAACAAATACTATAGTACGAATTGAATTGGGTAATATTATGATCTATTTATGGCGTAATATATTCGATAATAAATTACTAACATTATTAAATATTTCAGATGCTGTATTACCTGGAGCCGATAGCACTAGCCCTTAAATCCCACATCTGCCAGAATACTGGATGCTTGGCTTGCGAGCTGGGGGTCCTCTTTTACACGCTTGATGTCTCTGATGATAAGATCACTGACATCGACAGTTTTATTCAGGTATCTCCACTCAATCTTCACTGAATCTGACCCAAAAGACGACTGTTAATTAATTTGACGTTCACAATTCACATTCTGATTTAATTTATTAAGATTAAAAATGATATAATTAGCAGTACATGGTTTTTACGTTCCTCCCTCCCCACAACACTCCCTCCGCAGGCGTTTGAGCAGCAGCCAGCAGCGAAGTACCAGGACTGGCAGCTGTACGAACGTCACCACGAGAAGAAGGATTACTTACAACTGCCCCAGAGTTTACTAACTTTCTTACTCAGACACCTGCACGAGGAGATACTGAGACCTCCCCAACCTACCAGCGCTATCTACCTTACTTTCGGCAGCAAGGTAAGAGGGCTGTGACGTCATGTCACGTGGTGTGTGACGTCATTTCACAAGGTGTGTGACGTCATGTCACTTGGTGTATGACGTCATGTCACTTGGTGTATGACGTTATGTCATGTCACATAATTGGTATGGGGTTGCGAAAGCGCCCAAGTCAGAGTTTTTCATCTTACTCATCGAAAATCGCAAATTTAATCCGTGTTTTTAATTTTGTTCTAATAAAACGTCTCTACAAATAATTTGACCTAATTTGGACAGCGGTAAACACTATATTTGAATCAAATCACCCAGTTTTTGTTTCCCTCATATTCATATTATAGATGACGTGAGTTAACCATGTTCCGTGCTACATACCAATATTACAGGTAGGACACAGGACAACATGTGCCACGTGTCAACAGTCTTGGTACAATAAACCGAGCATCAACCTCACCTACTCCCTCGATTATCCCAGAGAGGCTGGTGTCAAGATCACATTCGTTGACGTACGTTTATTTACTTTTAGTTAGTCGAAGATACGGTTTCAAGAAAGATTATCATGTCGAATTTTTAAATATTTATTTAATAATTATAAACATTTGGATACCCAAACTTCCTAAATGAGTGGAACTACCGAAGCTAAATTTGTAAAAAGATTAACATTAACGGTCACGTTTAACCTTTGTGCAGTTGTTAAAGAGGACGATGCAAGCAGAGAACACAACACGACACATCCTTTGTAACCGTTGTGGCAACTACACACCCTGTAGGAC